ACCTTCCCACCAGCAGTGGATAAGGGTTCCCCTTTCTCCACAACCTCTCCAGCATGTGTTGTCTCTTGAGTTTTTGAACTTAGCCATTCTGTAAGGTGAAATATTAGGGTCGTTTTGATTTGCATTTCCCTGATGGCTAATGAGGCTGAGCATTTCTTTAAGTGTTTCTCTGCTATTCGATATTCCTCTATTGAGAATTCTCTGTTTAGATCTGTACTCCATTTTTAAATTGGATTACTTGATTTGTTGCTGTTTAACTTCTTGAGTTCTTTATATATACTGGATATAAAGATATATCTTACTCTGTAAGATATAAGCTTGGTGAAGATCCTTTCCCTATCTGTAGGCATTCGTTTTGTTCTGACGACCCTGACACAAATCCACACACTTATGGACACCTGATTTTTGACAAAGATGCCAAATCCATTCAATGGAAAAAAGACAGCATCTTCAACAAATGCTGCTGGTCTAACTGGATGTCTCCATGTAAAAAAATGAAAATAGATCCATACCTATCACCCTGCACAAAACTAAAGTCCAAGTGGATCAAAACCTCAATATTAAACCAGACACACTAAATCGGTTAGAAGAAAAAGTGGGGAAGAACCTTGAACTCATTGGCACAAGAGACAACTTCCTGAACAGAACACCAACAGCACAGACTCTAAGAGCAACAATCAATAAATGGGATTTCATGAAACTGCAAAGCTTCTGTAAGGCAAAGGACACTGTCGTCAGAATGAGACAGAGGTTTCTTAAGCCTTTAGGTGCAGACAGGGCAAAGACCAGCAGAACCTACATGCAGCACTTATATGTCTGTAACCAAATTTACAAGAAACTTCATTTTCTCTGGTAAACAATTAGTTCTATAAATTAGTTTTTAAAATTAGTTTTTAATTTGGGAGCAAGATAGGGGTATGCTTTGTAAGTAATTTAAATTTATTACAAATACATAAATAATGAAATCAATCAACTAAAAATAGCAAAATACCTCAGAAAAAAATTTCAGAGAAATGGCCAACCAAAACTCATATTTTATTACATTATTTTGAGTCATTCTTGCAAATCAGAATCCTTTTATAAGCCTTTTTTCTTTAAAATTGCTATGCAACAGTTTGCAAGGAAACGTAGCTTAATAGTCATCATTTTTTCTATGTTATTCTGTTAGCATGTATCCATTGTATGTATTTATGTGGTCCAGTGTAATATTTCCACACATGCCTGATCAAAAATGCCATTCCTTCATTATCCCATCCCTTTTTCTTCCCAACCTCTGGTTGTCACAAATTTACATTTAGGACTATAAAAAACTCTTCCATATATGAGAAAAATGTGATACTTACCTTTCACATAAAACACAATTCCAGTTCCACCCATTTTCCTGTTAATGATATAATTTTCTCTTTCTGATGGCTGAATAATATTTCTTCTTTCCATTCATCAATCACTAGTCAGTAGGGTTGATTGTGTATATTAGATATTGTGATTAGCTCTGCAGTAAATATGGTGCGAAGATATTTCTTTGGCATGCTGATTTAATTTCCTTTGGTGGAATAGCTGAATCATGAAGTAGATCTATTTTCCATTTTTATGAGTCTCCACACTATTCTCCAGAATGGTTATACTAATTTACATACTCTCCAAGAGTATAGGAGTCCTTTTCTCTCTGTATCCTTGCCAGCATTTGTTATTATTCATTTTGGGTAACAACCATTTTAACTGGGGTGGATAGTGCCTCATTGTAGTTTGATTTTCATTTTCTTGATACCTAAGATATTGATCAGTGTGTGTATGTGTGTGCACGCATGTGTGTGTGTGTGTGTGATTTATGTGCATTTGTCTGAGTGTGTGTATGTCTATACACATGTTTGTGGAGCCCAAAGTTCAGGTTAGGGTTTGATCCTTGATTAAGTTCTCCACATTTTAGACACAGCATCTCTTGATTAACTCGACATCAATCAATTCAGCTAGGCTAGTTGGCTAAAGAACTCCAGGGACACACCTGCCTCTGCTCCTCAGGACTGGGGTCACAGATGTGTACTGATGTGCCAGTTTTTATATAGGTGTTTGGATACTGAACGTAGATCTTCACACGTGTGCAGCAGGCACTTTACCACCTTGTCCATTTCCCCAACCCCTAAGCATAATTTAGATGTATTTTGGCCATTTATGTTTCTTCTTCTGAGAATTGTCTATTCATAACATTTACCCATTCTTTAATTGGTTGCTTCTGTTAAGGTTTTTTTTTTTGCTTGTTATATATGATGGCTATTTACTTTTTTCAGATGAAGTGTTGGTAAAACCTTTCATCTGTAGTAAGATGTCTTTTCAGCCACTGATTGCTTTATCTTCTCTATGCAGAAGTTTTTGATGAATCTGAATTTTTTTAAATTAACTAATTTATTTATTCATTTTACCTCTAGATCCTAGCCTCCTCCTCTCCTCTTGTCCTGGTCCCACCTTCCCTCTTTCTTCCCTCTATCTTCCCTTCCCTACAGAATAAACTCCATTTGTTTCTTGTGGCTTATGGTCATGTCTGAAGATCATTGTCTACATGAGTGTCTTGAAGTGTTTGCTCTCTATTTCCTTCTATCATTTTCCTAGTTTCAGGCCTTTGATATAGTTTGAGTTGTTTCTTTAGGGAGTGAGAGTTGGGGTCAACTTTCAACCTTTTGCATATGGATATACAATTTTCCCAGCACCCTCTATTGAGAAGGCTGGCCTTTTTTAGTGTATGGTTTTGGCACCACTGTCAAACCTCAGGTAACTCTGGCTGTATGAGTTTATTTCTTTGATATCTAGCCCATCCCAGTGGTCTGTGTGTCTATTGTTATACCAAGATCTGCCTGTTAGTGTTACTATGGTTCTAAAATATGTTTTGAAATCAAGAGTTAGAATGCCTTGGGTTTGTTGTTATTGTTGTTGTTGTTGTTGGCATTTGGTTGGTTGGGTTTTTTTTTTTGTACTTTTTGTTCAAGATTGATTTTGTTGGGTCTCTTGGCTTCTATATTATTTCATTGTATTTCATTGTATCTAGAAGTGGTTATGGTTGGTACCTCTCATGAGGCTACAATCACACATTGGTTCAGCCATTTCTATCTGGAGTCCATTTTGTTATATGGTTCTAGGGCTTCATATGTGTCCATCTTGGCATGGGAATTAGCTTGGACTTCCTTTCAGCATGGTAGTCCAGGATTTCAGCATTACTAATTTAAGTTCACTGCAGAAGTACACCACTTTTACTGACTTGGTCAAATTGTATCTACTAGAGTGAAGTCACAGTCCTGCCCAGTTTCAGTGGGAAGGGCCAGAGAATCCCCCTTCATACTGGAGGAAGTGTAGGCTGTAGTGCTGATAAGCATGGAAGAACATGTTCTTACAGACACCTTGAAAAAACAAAATCTACCAGAGCTTACCTTGGACCAGATTATAAATGATGTAAGTCTGTGTCCCTGAGGTAGAATATAGAAGTCATATATTCTCAATGGAAAATATTTAATAGACTTATTTTGGGAGGAAATAAAACTTGAAAATGTCAATACTTCCATTCTCCAGGTGCATTTATTAAGGCAGTAAGTAAACAAATTGAATGAAAACATAACATAAATAAACCCAATTTTATTGTTTACAATAATGAAAGATTGAATGTATAAAGTATTTATATCTCTTTATAAACCTGAAGAGCATTTTGCAATTTCACTCATTTTATTACTTTGCCTGCCTTTTAATTTTCAAGTAACTATTGCATCATAGACAGAAATGTACCTAAAGCCATTTTCACTTTGTGCAGCATAAAACTGTTTGCTTCTGCCTTTCCTTTCAGTTGTGTTGTTTAAAATGGAATATTGTATAAACGTTAAAAGGAAGTGGGAGCATTCATGCTATCACAATGCATGAGCACTGTAAAAATCCACCATCATTATAATTAATGTTGATAGGGCACTTACTGTCTGATTTGGCCAAGTATAGCTTAAGAATTTCACATTTTCCAATTCAGGGCCTTGGGGAAGAGCATATAGCCCTGAGAACTTGGATACATTGATCTGAGACAATGAATGATTGTTCACCTTCCTGATGCTGAGACCCTTTAATACAGTTCCTCATGTTGTAGTGACCCCTAACCATAAAATTATTTTTGTTGCTACTTCATGACTGAAATTTTGTTACTTTTATGAATCATAAAGTAAATATTCATGTTTTTTTGGTGGCCTTATGTGACTCCTATGAAAGGGTCATTTGATCATCGAGGGGTTTGTGACCCACAGGTTGACAAACACTGACTTAAGACAATGTATCCAATGTAACTTAATAGGTTATGTTGAAAATTCATGACCATTTTACCTTTTCTTCCAGAAGGCACCACTTCTATAATTTTAGCATAGGAAGGGCATGTCAGATACTATTCCTTAGCACTGAATGGCAATATCTACCATATGGCTTTAAACTCCTGCACAGCCCTTCATGTCCATTCAGGAGACAATGACTGGTTTGTTCTCAGTATCATCTTTCTGTTTATTGCTTTCCTAACATGTTCTTTCTCCCATGGGAAAACATATTATAATACAAGAATAAATATACGAATCATCTAATTGTTAGCACAAATTCTAAATCATTTTAACTTACGTATTTTGTTTTTATTATATTTGTTAGCCCAGATTAGCTGCAGAAATCAAAGAGGTTTGTTTTGACATCCCCAAACATGTCTCCACTGTGCGTTGCTCATGTTCCTCTGCCTTTTCTCTACTTTCTTCCTCCTTCTCTCTGTGTCTCTTTCCCTTACAATTTATGTCTTTCAAAACTCTTCCTAACTTCAGTGCTTGCCTATCATTAACTATTTACTTTGAGACACACCTCACTGATTGTGACATCCTAGAATGTTCCGGGCACTTCTGCTGAGAATTGCTGGGATTATTGGACTAATCCAAGGTCATCTGGTTAATTAATAACAGTGCTGCTGTTCAAGGTCTATTTTTGTACTCCTTATGCTTTCTGAGCTACATTTTAGTCATAAAAACTAACAGGAACTCACATGCTCACTAAAGCTGGGGACCCAAGGTAAGCATAAAATAACAGCTATAGCAACTTATGCTGCATTATTTACACATTAAATGTCTTATTTAGTCCTGAAAAGATTAGAGGAAAAATATGATCCTAAAAAGGTCTATCAGTCTGGCTGGCTGTCTATGTCTGTCTGTCTCTCTCTTTCTTGCATATGTGCAGGTGGCAAGTTGGCATTTGTGATGTCTGTCTCTCCATATGATTCTGCAACAATGCTACTTCATGTTAGACAACACACTATATGAAATATTGGTAGTAATGCAAGTGTACTGAGATGAAATAGAAATGTCATATCATTGGTGTTGCAAACTTAGGTGTGTTACAATCAGTTGGCGTACAGTTCCAAACAGAACTATAGAGCGCTGTAGGCTTCAGTGATACAATTGTATGGTATTTCAGCTAGGAGAAACACAGAGGGAAGAGTGTCCAGATCCTATCACTATTTTCCAATCCATTGTGTGTAACCAGAAACAACCCTTTATCTCAGAAGCTTAGATCCTGTTCTTGAATGGACTTCCCTTCTTTTCTTTTGGAAATGCCTTCCTGGAATATTCTATTTACCTACAAAAGATCTTGCTTCTTTTAGAGATTTTCTAATTAAATAATATACACACTTACATGCTCATGCATCTGTACACACACACACACACACACACACACACACACACACACACACAAACACATACACATACATACATACTAACCTGGGAAAGTCTTAGTTCCTATTAGCATAATGTACTGATGGAGATGATGGTGTCATTTGTATGCACTCACTATAAGCATCCAACTACCAATTTTTGGTCCTCTAATAGAGCTGTCACAGTGAAAAATAAGTTTTAGGTGTCCAAGGAGAAAGATTTAGATTCTAAGACAGATTTGATACAGTAGCATATTGTTGCACTTAAGTCCAGCAAAAAAAATTATCAAAACTATGGAATACATGTCCCCAGGGTATTATCATAGTTAATGTTTGCTCTCATATTTTATCACCTGAGTTTCATGAAGCTGGAGATGCTTCAAAATTCTGAAAGCCCTAGGTCTGTGTTTTTCTTCCCTGTTCTCCATAACTGAACTAGTTGATCCATTCCCCAGCCTGACCCTGTCATGTTTCTTGGAGCATTAGACTAGACGATCTCTTTAAAGATTCTTCTGCACTTTGGCTCCATGGTTCCATGAACCCGGAGTTCTTCAATGTAGTCCAGGTTGCTGTGTTTTTCTAGCACAATTGTCCAGCCAAATCTTCTGTGAAGTCCACAGAAGTTGAGTTCTTGAATTGGGAAAATGACTCATATGAAAGTGTCCTGGACTTTATTTATTTAATAGAGATCTATGCAAAATCCTCAAACTCCAAGATATTGGTTACATGTCCCTCTATAAGATGAAACATGAAAAAAATGGGGATTCTACAGCCTGAAAAAATATACACAAATAAAAGAGTATAGAAGCAACCTATGGTGTGGAAATAAAAGCTTACCTCATAGGAAGTAAGTGTTAGGAAAAGAACTGTGCCTAGGTAAAGGCTGAGTCAATGCCTTCTTGGAACAGGTTTTATTGAAATTATCAATAGAGTAAGAACCTAATGAGTTGCTAAAGAGAAGACCTGCTCACCTTGCTCCTGCATTTTAAGTCCTCAGAAGATACTGGCTCAACTACTGCTCAATGCCAGATCTGGCAGATGAGGATAACCAGGTATAAAGCAAAGGGAAAGGGCTTGCTCTATGCTTGAGCAATCTGACTTAGGTCAACAAGGCTTTAGTAACACCTGGAGGAAATCCAAGGCCAGTTATTTCTTCAGGAAGTCTGAACTTTCAGATAAGAAAAGGCTTTCTATTCTCACTTAAGATCCCTATCCTTTAACCATCAAGCCCATGTGAGTCCTCCAGAACCAGCTTAAGAAAGCTTGCATTTCTGAATCCCTTCTCTCTTCTGTTCAATTACTTCCCATTTATATACCAATACCCAGCTCAATGTCAAAACCTTAGGACCATCCCCCCCAAATTATCCTGATAGAAAAAGGAAGTAGCTTTTATTCCTTTCTCCCAGAACAGTGAAGTCTTATTATAACCCACTCTCTATTATAGGATATGCCATCTTATATTGTGATTATGTTAGGACATGGCATCTGATATTGTGATTATTTCCTTTTTTTGAAGTTAGAAATATTTGTGTTTTGTTTCTTAAAATCTTAGCTTAAACCAACACTAACACACTAGTTTTTGTCACAGGCAATTCCACCTGCAGCTGAAGTTTGACTCCACTAAGCTCTATCTCCAATATCTGTCACGTGAGTTTGATTCTTAGGTTTCCTATGTTTCCTGACTTGTATGAGGTTTATCAGAAACACCAATCTTACATCATCTCAGAGGTTTTGCCAACAAGAGAAGGAAACTCTTATTCTGAAGCTAAACAAGTCTTCTGGTTTCTGATTGGCCTAGCTTTCATTATTACTCAAATCTAACCAGTTGCTGTGATCTAGAGATTATAAGTCTCTAATTAGCTTGAAAGAGGCTATATGCTCCCCCTCACCCATGGAGGCCAGACTTGTTTAAGCCCTGTGGGATAGGAGAAGCAGAGGGTTGGTGTTTAATAAAAATGAAATGAGTGTTAGAACTGCCACAAAAAAAGTGAACTGTGGGTGCCTCATAACATTGTTTCTGACACATAGTAGGTATTTAATAAATGATTACTGGGTTTGTGAATAAAACAGTGACTATAAACCTCGTTCTACCCTCATTTCTATTCACTGCTCTCATCCATATTGTTACTGGAGACCATTAGTCTTCTGAAAATTAAAGCTTCAACAACTTGCATCCTTCTACACTGTTCTTTTTCTAATTCTAGCCAACATGACTTTGATTGGTCATGATTGGACTGATTTTATTCATAAGACACAGAAAAGATTTTTTGCTAATATGCTTTAAAGTTTTTTCACAGAGTGATTAGATTATTACTAATCTAATAATACACCAGATTAATGGTGTTATTAATTAATAATATTATGTGATTTTTCCAGCAATCATGTAGCTCACTCAAAGAAACATTTGAAAATCTATTATTCTGAAAAGCTTTAATGACCAAGATTAGAATAGTTATGTTACTCTCCAGCCATTACAGGGCATATTTCCCCCACAATAAGCAACCAAATAGATAAAACTGCATTCCTCACGGTAGTAGAATTATACTCTTTATTTATTCATATACTGCCACTTTATCTACAACTAACATTCACCAACCCATATGTTGAATCCTTTTTTTGTGTAAGGGAGGGGAAACTTAATAGGAGATTCTAGTCTTACATACCTAATTATGACCCCCTCCAGGCTAAAGTAGATTGTGTTCAAGGACTTTTTGGTCTGTACCAAAAACACTATCCCCAGGCCCAGGCTGGATCTAGAGACTTGGAAAATCAGAGTACCAATCCAAGTGAAAGCCTGAATGCCATATCTGAACATACTGCAGCGTGGAAAATGGGTCCCTGTTCTTAAGTCTACTTTCTTTTTCTTTCCTTTCTTTTCTTTTGTCCATGGCTCCAGCTCATATTGTTAGATGTCATACATGTGTACATAAGAACACTAAAGTCTATCTGCCCCAGATTCATCATTGTACATTGAAAACAGTCACTCCTTGGCCCTCTCTGGGGGCCAACAGACCACACCAACTCTTTTGCTCATCACCACAGGAAGGCTCTTGGGAAAAGGCTTGCATAAGCTCTAGATACATTCCCATACTCCTCACACTATTTAAAGAAAGGGGATACCAGAGGATCTTTAGAGAGCTCATCTCTAAAGTATACTGCCAAGAACAAGGACCTCTACATAGAGCCAAGAGAAGAGCTGCCCATAGTTGAGGGTGTTGGATCACACTAAATGAAATTATATCTGTAATTACAACTACTGCTGCACAAGCATGCTCACACAAGTGCAACACACACACACACACACACCATACTCAACCATGGTTTAAGATTTAGAAAGTATCTCTATAATAAAAACAACCTGGTCCTCAGATGAAACTATGGTCAACTGTGGAAAGTAACTATCAGGAAACATATGGACACAAATGACCCTGAGCCCTTAGGTCCTTACAAGTTTTATTGAATCAACAGACCACAGTGACTACAACACACACATCAAGAAAGCCTCCAAAGCTGTAACAGAGATTGCTGCCTCCCTGCCACTTACCTTCAGCATGCACCATTGCCATTGTTACCAATGACATCATTTTCTGAACACTTTAAATTCCTCACCTTAAGGCTTCTCTTTGGTGGATCATGGGCAGGTCAAAAGGGTCATTCATACTAGGAGCACACTCAGTCATGATGGGAAGAGCTGGAGGGAGAATCCCCAGCTTCCCCTTCCTCAAGTGTGATCATTGTGAGTTCTACACCATTTCCTGGAGGTACCCACTGAGTCTTTCTTGTTCACAATGGTAGCCATTTTGAAATCCTTTCCAGGTTTCTTTCTCTTCCCTGCCACACTCTTCTACCTTTATTTTTTGGGGGGGGATATTTGCCATGAATATTTCCATAGCTAAGTCTGCACTCTCAGTTATTTTCTTTGACAATTGTTTCTTGTGTATACAACCTTGATTTCTAGATATTTTTGTTTTATTTTGCTTTTTGAGGCTGGGTTTCTCTGCATAGTCTTGGCTGTCCTGGAACTCACTCTATGGACCAGGATGACCTCAAACTCACAAAGACCCACCTACTATTGCTAGGATTAAAGGTGTGTAACACCATTGCCCTGACATCCCAAGAATATTGACAGATGTGGCATCTCAAGCACCACTCTCTGAGTTCCTCTGTTTCATTTCTACAGATGAGGAAACCAAGACTCAGCAAAATTCAATAACTTCCCTGAGCTTTCACAATGAGAAGGCAACAGAAGCAGGATTGGAACCAAATTGGATTTCCAAACTCAAATGACTGATGAATGAGCTCCAATAGTATTGCATATCACCCTAATGCCTCAAAAGAGCAGATCAAAGTGTTGGTAATCCACAGTCTACAATTGTCGAGTTGTCAGATCATCTGTCTTTTTTTTTTTTTCATACATTGATGACAATAATTTCAGATTTGTTAAATAACATGCTACAGTTCCAATGCTTCATGCCTTTCTTAGAACATGGGATAGGATGTGCTCTGTATACAAGTTAGCTGGCTCCTTGCCCTTCCTCCTCCTCTCTATCAGGTTCATTACTTGGACTGACAAGAGGGCAAGTAATGGCATAGGAGAAGTTAGCCTCAAATGCTTGTTGTTTCTAGAAAGTATCCAGCAAGTAATGGCATAGGAGAATTTAGCCTCAAATACTTGTTGTTTCCAGAAAGTATCTGGCTAATTTATTTCAAAAGGCTTTTGCTCCTATGAAGTTTAATCGAGTTAGTGCGTATTAAAGGACTCGCTTAATCTTCATCTGAATGTGAGCAGTAAATGTGTTTTGGAGATTATATTCATTCCCCAGTGACTGTGAGTACTTTCCTATTCTAAAGCTGATTCTTATCCTTCAGAGGAAAAGGGTTTCAATTCTATGGAGTCACCAAAATAAAATACAGAGTCACAAGCAAAGTGGTTGTTTACCCTTTGGTACAGGAACACACCCAGCAAGAGCCACGATGTGAAGGCTGACTCCTTAATGAGCCATCCTTTGTGCTACTCGCCTTCTGAATATGTACAAGACTATGGGTGTCTGCAAAAAGCCTTCAAAATCACCGGGCTGGGATAGGGAGCTACCATCTGTGAGCTGCTGGTATTCCACTTTGTTGCTTCTAATGGAAGGCCAGCTTATCCACTATGGGTGGAATTGCTAAGCCCTGTCAGGGGAGAGATTTTTCCAAATAAATTTTAATGGCTTGGAATCAAGTTCAATTCATGAAAAAAAAAAAAAAACGAAAGACAGGAAAGCTTGCTTGGTATCATATGAGCAATACTAAACTTTTACATCCTGTAAGCACGTGGGATGTACAAGTTGCTGGGAGAGTATGAAGAATTTGTGTTCCTCTGCCAGAAGAAATTCATCCTAGCATTATCTGAGGAAGGTCTTTGATTTCTTCTCTGTGTTAGTGAAATAGTCTTGAATCAGATAGGAACACAGACGGTCTAGTTACACAAGAACTAGACAGTAAGTTCAATGGTGTGGGGTGAAAGATGACTGACCGATCAAGAAAGATGGCAGCCAAGGATGTGTAGTTGCTATCTCACATTGGGTCACATCCTAACAATTCCCTTCTGAATTATGCTTCTAGACACCCCCAGGCTTGTTGATCAAATGGAAACATATAATCTAATAGATTAAAACAAAGCAAAATAAAATAAAAACAAACAAAATCAATAAAAACCCACATAGCCAAATTCTAGTCTCAGTTGGGATTAGAACCCAAATATTTCTGTGGCCAATATTTCTGCGACTTTACTAACTGTTGGCCTAGGGGTGGGAGGTAGGGGAGTCATACAGTACAAGGTCAGTTCTGTTACCCATGTGGCCTTGAGCAAATAATTTACTCTGTTGAATAATCAGTTCCATCTGCAAAATACGGATAATTACTATGATTGACACATGTTATTTCATTGCCATAAGGAAAAAATGAGCTAATACATTTGCAAGAGCGTTAGAGGCAGATAAGAGCTACTCAAATATAATTTACGGTCATTTATTGATGGTGATGATGACAACGACCGTGACAATGGTGATGATGATCACTGTATCACCAAAGACATCTCAAAGAATACTTTAAAGTAGTGACACTCTTTAGCATAAAGATGTTCATGGAACATGCACAGAATTTGGTATCTGAGAAGCTGCTGCTTGCCAAGTGGAAGGATGACTCCAGGTACTAGGGAACCAGGCAATGTAGGTTGGAAGGAAATGATGCCATGGTCAAGTATTATGACCTCATCTGAGGTGTTATTATGGTTAGAGACCAGCAAGAGAGCAAAGGGGAGTGCAGAGGGAATCCAGATGAGATTGCAGTACTGGGCTACAGTGAGATCTTTTTATCTTTGTTAGCTGTTGGGTTCAGATCATATTTTTGAACAATGAGCAAGCAGCCTTATGTCAAAACCATCTGGGTCTGCTCAGGGACAGGCTTCCAGCTGCATGAGAATGGTGGTGGAGTCTTCAAATATTTATGAACTTCAGATGCATGGCCTCTGGAGCTCCAGGAGGTGAAAGCACATTCCAGATGCATAAAGGATGGGCAACACCACAGGAGGCTCTGGTTCAAACATCCCCAGTTGAGCATGAGTTGCTACAGATGTAAGCAAGAAAAGTCTGGAAGCTTCAGGACAAGTAAGTTTCAGAGTGATCAGGCTCTGCAATGAAAAAACACAGAGATCCTGTCTCCATGGATGTGTTTAAGGTGGATACAGTGTTCCCTTGTGGGACTATGAGTCGGTCAGTCTGTTGGTTCTTTTTATGCTTTTAAAAGTTGAACTCCTCAGAGTGAGAGAAATAGGTTATCCTTGTTGCCAAAGGTGTTGGAATTCATTCCAGCATCTCACTGGTTTTGTTATACTAGAAGCAGTTTGTTCCAGCTTGTTGAGATGGCAGCAATACCTTTGGCCTGGAACCTGGATTTGAAGCCCTTGGGCAGACAGGGTTGACAATGGACTGACTGTAAGATAAAGTATCAAAAGGCTACAGTCCACTAAAGGTAAGGAAGCAAAGAAGGGGACCTTTTGTCTTTTCCAACCCACCTGGGGCTTCTCAGATGTGACTTTGATCTTCCTATGACTCTCATAAGAAGTGTCCCTTCTCCAGACACATTATCTCTTCTCTTTTCACACCAGCATTTTAAAGGTGGAAGAGGGGCACTGGCCCTGTAGAGGCCATGAGGGTTCAGCTTGCAGAACAGAAGTGGGAAGTAAGGCCTTTTGTGATTTTATTTGAGCTGGGCTGCTGGCAGGCAAAAAGGAAGAGACAGTTAAGTGCACTGGGATGGCCAGATCACTGAAGGTGAAAGTTGTTCTCACATCAGAAAGAAGTATCTCTGGTAGCCCTGATCAGCAAGGGAGGAGTATATAGCTAGTAACAAATGGGAAATGTAAGATCAGTCTTTGTCCGTAAGCATAAGGTATGTGAACATCTTAAATACCGTCTGTGCAAGACACAGCAAGACATCATACCAATGATGATCCCCAAAGAATGAAGAGCAGAGGACATGCTTTTTATATTCCAGGGTGCAAGTTTTGTCTCCATTGTACCTTGTGTCTACTCTGCTTTGCAAGTTACATGAAAACTATGCACCGACTACAACTTCAGTGTGTCATAACTTTAGAGATAGAGCTCATTTAATTGCAGTGGCATTAAGAAACACCTAACAACTGTCTACTGCTTAGGCCCCCTGTTCACAGCTCTTTCTCTAAGGAAAAAGTATATAATTAATGTGTTACATCCTTCTAGTAAATTTCACTCCATGCCAGAGTTGATTTCTCATGTTTCTAGTTGAAGAACCCTGGCTTATATTATTATTTATGTTGCCTCCTTTTGTTCAGTTATTGTTTACTCAGAATCACCATCTGCCAAGCATAAATGCCATTTCTGAAGAGCATAACTCATGCATTCAAAAACCAAAGAATTGAATAAGGAGACAGAAACAAGTAATATGAAGTGCTACAGTGAGGAATTAGGTGAGTTTTAGGAAAGCAGAGGAGGTGTGAGCAGCTTAGACTTCATGGAATCAGAGAATTCTTCCCAAAGAGAAGATGCTTTGGTTATGTGTTGATGGATGAAAGAAGTCAGTACAGACACAGAACAGTGAAGATATAGATGCAGGACAATTGTGAGGTATCTCCATCATATTACCTTGAACAATCTTGGAAAGGCCTTCACGAATGTGTTCCGAAAAATACATGAGGAGGTTGGAAATTAGACATCAGGGCCAGGATATATACAGCAGTTCCTTTCTGTTACATGAACCATAGATTGATTTCTCAGTTTCCATTACCTGCCATGGTGACCGCCATACTCTGAAAAAATGAAGTAGAAAAGTCTACAAATGAGAAATTCACGTTTTAATTCTGTTGTATTGAATATTTATAATGACCTCTTACACAGTGCTGTGTCGCATGGGATTTGCATTAGCCCTCTGTTCGGTATAGCCACCCTGTATACATTATCCACCTACCCGTTCCAGTAAATCTTCACTGACAACTTGAGGGCATTTTAAATCACTTAGAGGTATACCTCTGGGCATGTCTGTGAGGGCATTTCTAGGAAGGTTTAACCTAAGAGGGATGAGCCATTATGGATGAGAGCTGGAGATCCAGTGTGAATCAAAATGTAAGAGTGAACTGAGCATCATCATTCATCTCTTTCTGCTTCCTGGTTATGGATGCAATTGGACCAGCTGCCTCATACTCCTCCTGCCCCAGAGAGAACTTTTGGGACCACCTCACCTTCCCTTTCGGAATGGAACTGTGAACTCAAACACAGTTTAACTTTCTTTGGTCAAATCGCTTTTCTCGGGTATTTTGTCATAACAGTGAGAAAAAAAAAATAACATACGTTATCCATTAGTCTCTAAATAGACAAATTCGTTATTGATAGTCTCTGTATCAAACTGTTTATTTCCATGTAGGCTTAGTACAATATTTTTGTTTTATTTTTAGTCATTAAAATCAATATCTTCCTAAACCAATCTATATACTAAACTCTGTATTAGGTATGTATAATCACACAAAAGTGGAAGAAAAGAAAAGAACTGATGTTACAATGTTGTCCTCTGGCATCAACACAGGTGCCATTCCCCAACACACACACACACACACACACACACACACACACACACACACACACA